GCCCCCTTGCGCCCTCTGACATTAAACAGCAGTTTTGGGGAAGCTTCTCTCTGACTTTCCTGGCTCACAATCTGCACCGTTCCTCTTCCTGCAACATCAAATTACCCATGGCATGGCGAGATACCCTCGCTCGCTCATTCCCTCTCTTCTCTTCCCTTCCCCTACTCCCACTGAGTTGGCTTTATAGGCAGCAGTCCGGCAGGGGTAATTTCTGCTCCACTCCAGGGAAATTACTTTGTGCTGTTGGAGAAAACGCAGTTTGTGAAACTGCTTTATCAAGCTCCTTGACTCCAATAACAAGCAACATTTGGATGCCGGCAAGAGAATATACCGCCTCTACATCCCCTCACAGACTGCCTGCCACTTAGTGCAACCAATGTAAAGCAGGTTTAGAGACATTGCAGTGCATGTGTATATGCATATGTTTTTGAATAGACAAAATGTGCATGCACCTGAGCATTTGTTTCTGCAGGACTGACCAAAGCCATGTAGATAAATGTGTGCATGTACATACTCATGTGTATATCTGTTCTGTTCCTCTACACCGAGTATTTCAGCTGTGCCTTGCTAGGACTAATGAATAATTTCTGCACTGTGCTCTGCTGTGGCACGTCTGGTGCAGCCTGACTGCACCACACAGCTACAGCTCTGCATTTGCATTCCACACACACACACACACACACACACACACACACACACACACACACACACACACACACACACACACACACACACACACACACACACACACACACACACACACACACACACACACACACACACACACACACACACACACACACACACACACACACACACACACACACACACACCAAGCTGCTCCCCCCATTCCACCACCATCCAGCCTGTCAGCTGCTTCCTTGTGTGGAGGGATGCAACAAGCTGCTGCTAAGCCCTTTTTAAAGCAACAGCCGTTTCCTTTTGTCAATGTCATCTCAATTCTTCTTCCCCAGTTACATCTGGGAAAAACTCTCCCTGTGATTCATACAAATGACACCAATACAAGCAAGACATATTAAACTCATAACCCACATAAAGCTTGTTCTTGATTTATAAAAAAAATAGGGGGGCATTTCAGTTCAAGCTCAGAAAAAGGAGAAGTGGTGCTGAAATGTTAGCTCTCATTCTGGAGCGGCAGGCATGCTGATGTGGTGACCTCTATGTGCCATGGTTAAAGGTTGGGTGGGCTGAAGGACAAATGAGGAGAAGGTATCGGCTTTTCTGAGAGAAAGAAAGGGACATTTTAAAGGTCACTGCCAAGCCTTTCTGTGCTGAAACACTGAGTTAGTCAAGAATCAATCACTTTCATGTTATTAATTTGATACTTTAAGGTAATGTTATGAAGCCTGTTCTTTTATTTGAAGGTTAAACTACACTTGATCGCTAGGAGATTACTAGAGAGGTGTTTCCTTGTCAAATGTGTTTTGAAACTTCAACAAAAAGAACATCCATCCTACATTTATCAGAAGTACAGCAGGTTGTGCATCTGTGAGCAGCCTAATAAAGTGAAACCACACAAGCAGCAGTGCCAGAGAAATCTGCAAACAAACACCTCCTACTGTCTCTGGGTCTTCTGGAGGACCTCCAGCGCTCTGCTCATTCATCTGTCCTAGGCGAGCGTGTCTTTTCAAACATGATATGCTTCTCAATGCATTTCGCCGTAGATGAGCAAATCATGTCATCATCTATCTATGTCAACAGTGGATAGTGTACTGCCTTGCTGTAAAACCAGGCATTTTCCGATCTTAAACATACATTTTCAGCTTAGGAAATGCATTTTTAATAAGTTGCAAATATTTTCACTGTAGTGTACTACAAGAACAAAGAAAAAAAGGCTAGAGCTTGTTTAATACTAAATGATAGCCTCTTTGTATGCATATAATACAGTCTGTCTACACTGGCCCTATGTCCAACAGGTATAAGACAGCATCAGAAACACAGCTTTTGAGCAGAAATAATATATTTATTGCTAAATGTTTTCCTCAGTTCCTATTTGCATAGACCTTTGCTGCTGCTCAGGCACCCTGGGGTGACTGTCTGGACTGTCAGCCCATACTGCCAGGCTACCACATTTGAATATATTATAAACACAGCATGCACACTGGGTCAGAACTCCTTTCATCTTAAAAAATATTTAAGTGATGCCACAATAACCCACCTTTTAATTATATTATTTAAAGACTAAGGTAAACCACAGTGTCACCGTCAACCTGTGAACTCGTAGACACTACAGTAAGTTGCATATGTAAGTTTAAGTGTTGTCAACTTCTTTAAACGGAGACTGCAGAAAAGACAGTGAGCGATGCGCAAAACAATGGAGCACTATCACCGCCTCTAACATCTGCAAGAAAGCAGGGGGTTATCAAAGGCTACGGGATACATTCACATCTGGGAGAAAAGCCAAGTGGGCAATACACTGTTATAACCCCACACGCACCATGAAATAGAGCTACACATATTTCCACAGTCGCCAGAGCAGCGCTTCAAGTACAAGCGGAAGGAAATGTACTTACAGTTCTGAGGAACTGAATCTCATCCTCTCCTTCTCCACCTTCAGCCATGGCTGCAAAGGAGCCTGTTCAGACTCGGGAAGCCTCCGCTGGCTCCTCTTCCCTATCGATATTAGCATATAGCTAATCCACGGCCATACAGCGGAGAGACTACCGCAGCATGTGTCACTCAAGCCCCTGTGCTCAAGCCCCGCACACCGCCCGGAGGAGGAGTGTGTCAGAGCATCGGTGGAGCAACTGGGGACGGTGTGGCGGGGAGACAGCGAGGAGCCGAGTCGTGTAGCCGAGAAACAGCAGCGGGGTCTTTATCTCCGACGTCACCGTCCTTATGAATACAACCCGTGAAAGCGCGAATATTCAAACATCAGAGCATTAAACGCGATGCAATATCGAACAGGTATTTCGTCCGCGGTTGTTTTTCCTGCACTAACCCCGAGCTACGCAGTAATAAATTAGTGAAAATGTATCGAAATGTGAGTGTACAGTGTGCAGGACATTCATGGTAACTGCTGTTTCCAGTGCTGGTCCAAGTCAGCACCATGGTCAGCACCCAGCACACAGACATGCCTCTAATGTTAACACAGTCAATATAGTGGATGATTTAGCAATAGTGTACACATATTTCCACACAGAAAATGTTTTGTTACCACTGCTGAAGGGAAAAAGGCAGACCTAAAGCATAGCAAATATCATCCAATATAGACACACATTTCTACAATATAAATGTTAACATGAAATATAATCTGCAAAAGGTGTATGCTATGATGTAGCTATTTATTATTATTATTATGTTTTTTTCCAATTAATTAAGTGAACGGAAAAAGGTTATTTCTGCGTAAACCTGAGTTTCCCTTCATTTCATAAATAGAGCAGCTGTCAAAGACAATACAGCCGGCAAAACTGACATTTAAATGTTCACATGATAAACTATTTAAAACATTATCATTAGATGAAGGTCATTGAATTATTTAACATGAAATGTATGAATAAAAAATGCAATGTAAGTTATTTTAACTCTTTCTGTGGACTGAATACACGCAGTGGCAACAGTCATCAGCTGGTCTTTGGTGTCTCACTGGTCAATGAGTTGACCCTCAGCCCAGCCAAGCCTACTCATCTCTCCAACTAAATTAAACAAACATTTACCCCCTAATCATAATGCAATGGCGCCCTCTGGTGTCAACATGGTGACAAAACACATGCTTTCCTAATTGTGCAGGTTTCCTTCTTTCATTTCCTAAATTTGGTATCAATATCCTAACCTTCTCCCCTCTATCCATACACCCACAGTTAAATCATGTGTTATTCCTCTTTTAATGATTAGACATCATCATCCTCCAATCCTGTGTCAACTGCCCAATTGACAGACCTTTAAACAACCAGGGAAATTGATAACATGCACATTTCAGTAGCCTAATTATCCACTGAAAGTACTTTATTCAACTCATTGATGTTTAAACCTACTTTCTTGGTTGGTAGCGTTCTCAATTGCTTTTGGCCTATATGGGAAATAAGTGGACTACAATATTCCATTAAATAATCTTCTTTAAATAAACACCAACTTGACCATGTGCACAGATTACTGTCACTCTGTTACAATTATACCCATCCCCTAAAAACAATGAAAGGTAGGACATTTGGGATCTTAGGCGAAAGGTACATGAAATAGGTTACACAAATAACATAGTAAATATATATAAACCAATAGTAAAAGTTATTTGAATGATAATGGAATAAATATCGTGTTGAATAATAATAAAACGTTATTCTGTAAATCCAATTCCTCATAAAATATAATATTACAAGTCTTAACACAGTATCCTATAACAACCTACAATAATATGCTAAACTTTATTATTTATTTATTCCTGATTCCTTGTTCCATATGTATACGGCTCTGGTTTGTTCTGTCTGTAGCCAACTCGGTTACTCAGTGAATGCAACATTATGTAAATAAGGGCATAATTTAATATGACAGAAATGATTCATTTATGTACGTTTTTAAGATGATAAGCCCCATGGAATAAAAACAACACTGGACTCAGAACATAACGTCCTTGGCAGAGATGAACACTGTATTATTTAAGAAAACCCTCTTACGAATTAAAACAGTGTATGGCAGCGATACACTAGATGACCACGAGGTGTCTCTGTTTTGTAAGAAATGGCAGCACCTCGGGCCTTTATAGAGCAGGTACTTTCACGCACAATTACCTCTCTGCATGAGTAACTATGCAAATGTTAGCCCCGGAAATACTGGAAACTGCTACGACTGTTGAATAAATTAACGTCAGCCAAACTTTGTTCCCTATTTGTACGATTTCCTGACTTAAAACGATCACATGGCCTACCTGCGAGCTGCAGCTGCACTGACTCAAAATGTGGGATGTGACAAACACTAAGGAACCAATCAAATAGCGTTGAGCCGGCGCTGAGTTTATCTATTGGACCAAACTCCTGTCAATCACCACAAACGAGCCCTGTGAAGCAGCGGTGAGCACTGGCTGGCTGCAGTACAGAGATGTGAAGAAATATTTCCCATGCCACTAAATCGGGTAAGTAACTGTTTATATTTTACGAAGTGCAGCTGCTCTTCTACCTGCTGCAGGTGCAATCGACTGTGACGTACTTTCACCTTCTAATTGAATATACGACATTGAAGTGAAGCTGATATGATGCTAATACCGAGATGTATGGACTACATTCGAATTCAGAATAAATGAAAAGAGAGCGTTTCCTGATTTTTTGTTGGGATACTGTACAATATGCTGCCATCTTTACACAGCTGCACTCGGGCTCTTTGCAAGGTGACAGTAACCCACGGGATTATGTTATGATGTAAACAGTTCAGAGATGTTGCCAAGTGTTGGAATCCATTGAAGCACATGTAAATAGCTGTGCCTGTTTTGCTTGTAAACATCTCGAACGGCAGCCCTGCCATCGGGCTTTGCATGTGTCGTCACCTTGTGGGACACTCAGGTTTTATGCTGCAGCAGCTTGTGAAATGTTGATGAAATGCGGTTTAAAAATTGTTCATCTACGTAATGCCCAAGAGCAGGATGAAGATAAGATATAGTGATAGTAAACAATCGTATTTTTATAGTATTTTATTTTATTAAGTTCTTAATTAACTAATGGGTTTGACAGTGAAATATGAAGGGCCCATTGTAGGTAGAGGAGCAGTTTGTATTGTTGCTTACAAACTAACTCTGCATCAGCATAAAAATAGTCTGTAGAGCCCTAGCTGTGTCGTATTCTTTATTGATTACATTTTTTTAAAACATGAACTTTACAATATGTTAACAGTCTGGCCTCAGAATGGATTGAGTGGATTTGATTTTGTCTAAATTTACATTATTTAATTTAATATTCTTTTCTTTTACTTATCATATTCTATTTACATGTATATAGACTTTTTGCACTACTTTTTATTTTGTATTTTTGTATTTCATTATATATGTTGCATTGTTGGAGGAGCTCAGGTCAGAAGAATGTCATTGCCATTTCTACACTGTAGCTTTGTGCATATGGCAATAAAACCTTTGAATTTAAGTCACTAGTAGACTTAAAATGTTGTTGGACATATCTACTGATCAGTAACCTATGTGCTACTTTCTCTCTGACAGTGTCTGGACAGGTCAGGTGATGAATAGCCAGAGAGTGGCTGACCACTTACTCACAGTGCTCCAGTGGTCATAACATGGCACCCATCATGGAGGGCACACACACTGTGTTGCTGCTTTATGCACCCATCCGTGAACTAAGCAACATCAGCCTGTATTTTCCCAAGAGGCTGGCCCCTAGCTTCAAGTACAAGAGCCGCGCCTCTCATTCGGGAAGGGCCTGTAATGACCATGACCGGGCTAAGGAGGATCTTGCAGTGTCCGAACAAAGAGGCCTGTCTTTCAGTTCCTCAGGCGAACTCCTCATCTGCCAGCAGGCTACAAAGGAGGCGGTTTCAGAGCTCTGCTGGCTGGCGGCAGAGCACCATCAGTTGCTGGCAGATTTCTTATCGCTGTGTAGGGATTGTGCCGTCAAAGTCAGAATGGGTAACAAGGATGGGAAACTCCAGGATTACATGGAGGGTCAGGAAGTTAACCTCGGCAACAGCAACTACTCTCTGACCGTGTCTCCAGAGCACAAGAGAGCCACATCCAAGAGCAAAAAGATGAAGAAGTTGGGAGGCAAGGAGCTTGACCCCACAGAGGGTTTCCAACACAATAAGATGAAGAAGAAAGTTTCAAGTGGAAGTTCATCTAAACAGCTTGGTGCTCGCAAAAGTGGGTCCATATCTTCAACCTCAGTGATGCAGCAGATCTCAGGTACCCCGACCTCAAGCCATGTCACTGACAGCCCTGTCACCGGCTCTTATGTCAGTGCGGTGAGTAACCCCATCCTGCCCATGGAGGAACCCTTCCAGATTGCTCGTGAGGTTTGGGACTTTATGGAAGACAACCGGACATATGACCCCGACATTGATTTCTGCAATGACTTCTCAGAGTACGACGGTGAGCTGGGTTATGAGTCGTCCTTCTGCAGCCTGATGGAGGGTCTAACCCGGCGGGAAAGCGGCAGCAACCTCAGACCAATAAGAGGGTCTGATGCCTCGGGTAAGCCATTATCTGAGAATTCACTGACAGTCAAGTTCCCTCAGCAGCCGTATGGTGAAAGCAACCAGAGTAACGCTGGGCAGAGGGTTGTCACCAAAGTGCAGGATGTGGAAGGGAGAGTGCAACATATCGACCATTCAAACCCAGATCCGGGGACTAGCAGCTGCCAGCAGGGGTTTGGAGAGTGGAAGGGACCAAACAGGGACCCCCTCCTGGGTCTCAATAGAGAAAAGATGGGTTACAAGCTTTCTGAGGGTCTACGGTTGCCCCTTTTCCATACCACTGAACCTCACCCGCCAGCCAGATACCACAAAAAAAGCCCCTCTTCACCATCTCTCGCTGGGGTCTTCAATATGTCTTTTCCCGCCTCCAACAGTCTTCACAGCATGTCCCCAGTACTGTCCCCTCTGTCCTCCAAGCAGGCAAGCCCACAGCTGAACCACCGCATTGTTATGCTCTCAGATAAAGATGAGGACCATGAACGAGCCAGCTCCAGCAACACAGATGAGTCCAAATTCTTCACAGAGTCCATTGACAAGAACGGCAACAATCGAACCTTTACCCGACTGGATCTGAACCTCACGCGGCAGCCTAGCAACTCCAGGTGGACTTCCTCCAGCAACTCCACAACAACCACAACAGGTGACCTATTAGAAATCACATCCATCCTACTTTGAACACACTGATTCATGTTTGAACTGCCTTGATGTAAATGCTGAAATAAGTGCTTTTATCATCTTAGTACCACGAAGCTTTTGTCAGTGTGCCCTTCATCTGGCATTGCTGTTGCTGGATTTCAAACAACAGAACTAGAAAGAGATGCCTTGAAAGAGATTGAAAAGTGTCTGTGACAGCAATTACTTTGAAGCAGACAACAGTTTTACGCAAACAAAGGGAGTTCTACTTTGTCAGTCTGGCGTGTTATCTAATAAACTAGGTAGACGAGTAAATAAGCATTTCCTTCCAAAATCTCCATGCTAGTCCTGGTATTTGTTGGCTGCTGTGTTCTCGAACTGGCTAGGGCTTGTGACCACACATTTAAAAACTACCCAGCAGAGTTATACAAGGGCCTGAGAATACTCTCACTGATGCTACATTTTAACTCTCTGTGCTGCAAGGGAAGGCAGAGATAGTGAGAGTGTCCCAGATCAAAGGCTCAAATTTGACACATTGTTCGACCTGAACATGGTCCTCGTGCACTGTTAACTGAAGCATTGCCAATTTGGATTTCAAGAGATCTGCTGTCCCTCCCATAAACCCACATCCTCTCCAGTTCACAGGAGACTGACAAAGGATCAGGGACCCAGCGGGCACAGGGGTTACAGAGAGAAGGATTAGAGTTTCCTTATTTGCAGAACTGCTTTCCTCTATTCATAATCTCAACCGTTGTATCTTATACTTGGTTAAAATGCCTTAAACACTCAATACAATATAATATTTGCAAAGCCATAATAACGTCACAAGCCTATCTGGTTTCCTTAAATTCCCATTGGTCAATTTCCATAATTTCACAATGGCTGATCTGGCCTTTTTAAAACCAGTTTGTATTTAGTATAATTGCTTTTTCAGTGACATTTTGTTCTTTCTTCAGTAAAGGACATTTCTGTGTTAGCTTAAAGTGAATCCACCTTTTACTGGAATCAATCCAAGTTGATGCTGCTGCTGTTGGCCTGATGCTTTGAAGGAGGCTTTAGCATTATTGCATTACCTACGTCTGTAGCGTGGTTAGCCATCCCTTTTAGTCAGTGTAACACAATCTTTCATTTGCAGCAGCAAACAGATGGCCTCTCTTTGATTATGTGATTCACTAATAGACCATAGATAATAGTTGGACCTTTTCAGGATAGATGCATTTATCCCGTTTTCAAGACTTTGCTGAACTTGTAAGGAGTGTTTGTTTTCTTGCATCACAAACCATCACTAGCTCAAGCATTACAGCCAGAAATGCTCAACTCTGCAGGAGCGCAAGGGAGGAGAGCTGAGCTGTGTGGAGCTGAGCTGAGTGGTGGATAGGGGGATGGATAGCCCAGTTTTGCTGTGGAGATAATTTGGACCGATTCCCACTGAGATTATGTCCCTATATTCCCCTCAGCTAGGAATTCACAAATGGCAACATTATCATTTTGGCACACTTACACATTCCACATTTTCTGGCATCAGTCCACACTTTTTCATTAAATTCAATGTTCTTGTAAAAGTGACATTTAAGAGCACTGTTTCTTTTAATATCCTGAGCTGGGTTTGAGCAAACATCCCGAGTCTTCATTAGATGTATCTGTTTGATATGATAACCATATACAGTATATATCGATGTGAGACTATAACACAGTAAGGTACACTCGCTTTTTGCTGCACCGTCTTCACAGTGAAGGCTTAAAGCTTTTAATCTGAATAAATATCCTTTTGTGGATTTTGCCGCATTTGAGCTGTTTGCTAGATGGCCCTTTTGTTGTCTGATAATTGAACACGCTTCAGATGTTAACAGAGATAGATGAACATCACAAGACCTCAAGTGGGTCACTGTGAAGTCTGGCCCTTCCTGGTTTGCAAATAGTGAACTAATTATGATCCAGGCTCTTTAATCTATGCTTTCTTATTGAAGCTCAGCTCTTATTAATGAGTGTGGTTATCAAGCAGATAGTAATGGTAATTATAAGGTAACCAATTATCTTGTTTGCTTCATGTGCTAATGTTCTTGCACCGCAGTCTGTGAATATCATTTACATTTACTGAGAGTGAATATAATATTGTTTCATGTTTTACACAATATCTATTTTATATATATCTCTTAGTTTTTCTTTAAGTTTGCATTTGTGTTGCTTGTTCTCTTATACTTCATATGCTATCACCTTTTTGACATAAGCTCCATAAACAGGAGACATTTACTTAGATCCAAAAGATATATGGCATTAGCATTTATTCTGGCCACCTGGTGAATGAAGTCCAATTGTTACCTCCCTTTTCAAATGTGTATAAAATCAAGTTTCTCATAGATTTGTCTAGATCTTTATCACAAGCCATTGACTTGTTGTGTCTGCAATCTGGTGCTTTAAACGCTTTTACGTTGGCATGTGTCAGAGAGTAAGACTAAACCAAAAAGGTAAAGTTGTGTGCCATTAAAACCAAAACAATGCCCCTAAAGCAATATATCGATCTACAGCTGATGGATCTAATAACTTTCTGTGAGTTCTTCACTAAAAGCTTCTTTTTTTTTTCATTGACCACTGTGATAAAAAAATATTGATAGCTCTTTCAAAACACCCCTTTCCAATATTCTGCCATTAGTGTTTTGAGTTTTTTTTCCTCGCTCACTCTTGTCCCCCCCTTCTTCCTTTTCCTACGTATGTTATTGTCTGACATATGGCAGGCAATACCATAATCAGATTAGCCAATACGTTACGGGGAGGTCATATGAAACTGATCAGCGAAGAGCATGAGTGCATCACCCCACTCTGCCTGTCATTCAACACAAAGTGCCCTGCCATGCAACATTTTTAAGCCCAGTGAAGACAAGGGCCAGCTCTATTCACATAATGTAGTGGATTCTGCCAAAAAAAGAGAGCTTTTCTCCCAGTCTGTTTCACGCCGTTTCTCAGTGCTGCATACTATAGGCAGGCAAACAGGGCACAAAGGTCCTTCTCATACAGTATAACTTGTTTTCTTTAATGACTGTTGCACTTGGAAAATGTTAGAAATGTTCCATCTCGTGCTTTTCAGTATGATCAGCTTTAAAACAGGCTTCTCCTCAATGTCCCTCTCTTTTGAACTGAATAAAACCTAACCAAGTTTCCTGTCTCCCAGTCAGTGCCCCGCCAGGCCCAATGAAAGTACTCTTTCCTCGGTTGTGTTTATCCCATCTGCATCCAGAACTGTGACCGTATTTTTAAGCTACATTGCTGCTCTGGCCCTCTGCGCTTTAACACTCAACCCTGAGTTTCTTCTTGTAGCTTCCTCTAACATGGACCTCAGCACTGCCAGCTGAACCAGTCAGTCTATCAGCCAGCCTTTCTGTTGTGCACGGCCAACAAGCCTCATGAAAAAACGGCTATGTCAGGTGCAAAAGAAACAGGCTGATTTATAAATCCTGCATTTTTCATGATTTATATAAAAGTCCATGATCCTTTTTCAAAGTGATGGAGAGGGGTGGAGGCTGCCAGATGCACTCAGTTTGCCACATGGCCCACTTCTTTTACTTTGAGGGATGAGGTTACAGATTTGTAGTGGATAAAAAAGGGCAGACTGGGCAAAGCTGTTTGAGGTTCTGTAATAAGAATTAGCAACTGTAGCACCAGAGGAGACAGACTAGTGTTCATCTATGAAAGCTCTAGATTTAGAGATATGCATATACATAGTTATTTTTCTGGCTTAGGGCTACATGATATGAGGAAGATATCTGATACGGTTTTGAATATCATTAGAACAATATGAATTGCAATGTAAGTTTAGACAGTACTGCATTTCTTCTGCTTTCAGTATAAACACTAAATGCTAGAATATAAAAAAATTGCTTGTTGAATTAAAAAAATAATTTGACAAAATACCAAGGGGGGGCCAAGCAACGGATTCTTTCAACTAATAAAAAAAAAGTGCAATATCCCAGTTGTCACAATGTGTGAATCACGAAATGTGATGAGGTTGAGTTCATGCTGAGGCTGGAAAAACAATGTTTTCAAGCCCTAGTCTGGCATGCAGTAGTCCCTTCATTCATATGAAAGAAATGATCAAGTTCCCTTTGTTCAGTTTGACACAGCCTCCTCTAAACTTCCTCTCACCCCTGGATGAGTGATTATTACCATCTGACAGAGTGAGAGGGGGATTAATGACCACTGACGACACCCACCTGTCATGATCAGACATTAGATGGCCTCTGATCCGAGGGAAGGACAGATACTTTATTGTTCAACTCATGCTTACAGTAGCACATAAACAGTGTGACAGCTTCTCAATAACACGCTGTGATATTTACTGACGTCTTACTGCACGGTGTGTCGGTCAACACATGCAGGGACCATCTAAAGAAACACCTGTTTGTGCTGCTTGTTTCTCTTAAAATACACCGACTAAAGGGCAGTGCATTATCTGTCAGATGGTATTTGACGAATTGCTGCAATCTCGGGTTGGGATGTTCCAGTTGGAATTAAATTACATTTTTTTTTTCAGACCAAACTGACATGGCCAATCCAATCTGCACCCTGCTTCCCCTCAGTTATAGACCCTGTGATTTACCCTCAGCTTTTAGAGCAGCAGGGAGGGAGATTAATGGCAATATGCGCACAGTTTTCCCCAGGGTCAGTGAATTCTGTGTGTCGGTTGCGTGTAAAAGTGCAGTGTCTTCATTAAGCATCCCAATCAAGCCTAATGCATCCAAGAGTTTCTTCTCTGTATCTGTTTACCGTCTTTATATTGCAGCGTTGTGCATTAATTAACTATGTCGTATTTCTAACTAACAGCCTTGACATCAGAGCTTCACTGCAGTGTGTTTGACTACATAGACACACACATTTTCCTCTTTGTCCAGATGGTGGCAGTGTGGGCCACCTTACTCTTTTAATTAAGTGTCTAACTGATTATTAAGCAATCATGCACAACGTGTTTAACTGTAAGGATTTGGGAATCATGAAAGGATATTGTGAACATATATTAATAGGTGTTATTTTCTAGATGTGATAGTTGAGGTAGAAGAGCTGCTTCTAATCATTAGTTTCTTTCCTTGGCTTGGACTGAGCTTAATTCTGCATTTTGGAAGTGTCCCAACCTACAGTCAGCAGTTCCCACTGCGGGACCGCAGAGCGCAGCATTATCATAATGAAAAGTTATTCATCTAATCCTTTTTTCCCTCTGCTGTACAAGATAAGTGGAGGGACTGCAGGCACTGCTGTTGTTTCATAATGACTGATAGCTGATAGGGCTGGAGTACTGAAGCTGAATTTCAATGCTTCCATTTTACATTGAAGCCCCCCCCCCCTGTTAGTTCTGTGTGTGGGCTCATAACCGCATTATAAGCATTTGGCTCAGACTCTGGGTAGCAACACAAGGCGACTTGCAGGGCTTTAGAAGCGGCTGCTGTGCTGGGCAGCAGGATGATAATACTGTATGTCCTCTTCAAGGATACTCATTACAAAGGGAGGCTATGGGACATGTTAGCATCTTATCGAACAGAAAGTGATTTTGTTCTCTGTTTCCAGCTCATAATTCTGCCCCAACAGGCCAAGGTGTTGTCTTACAGCTGGGGGAAATTGAGGTCAACAATCTGCAAGATGTGTATCCTCTCTACTCTCTCTCTACCCCTCCCCTTCTTCTTCCTTACCTCACTTTCCCTGCCCCATTTCTCTTAACTTGCACTTTTCCTCCTTTTTTCTTGAGACAGTTAATGCATGCACCAAGGCACGATATAGCTTGTTTCTGTGCAGAAGGATGTGAACTTACATTTGCCACTCCTGGGAGAGGCTCTAGCCTGGTTCCTGAAGTTAATACCATGTGACTTGGGGCATAGCGCCTAAGGGAGGGTTGTGCAGGTTGAGGCTGGGTTTGCAGCGTGCCACAAAGCAGTAAATATTAAAGTCCCAGTACTCTTAAAAAGCCTCAAACAAATCCAACCTCCCCAGCGAACTGCAGGTTTATTGAAAATTGAAAATGTACTTCCTGTTTTATGTTTTTATTTTCAGTCTTCATCCCTACACTGCACTTAAGTTATCACCCAAAATAAAATACACATATTTAGATTAGTAAAGACTTCCTGGTCAGGAGAGGGCACTATTTCCTAATTTAAATGTGTGTATTTGAACTCCTTCAGGGACTTTGGATGACTTAACACACAGGCAAATTCACATCTGCAATTCACCATATTGTACAGTGGTATTGCTGAGTACGCCATGGCTGTGTTGCAGCGAACAAATCTTCAAATGAAATAAATATCTGTGTTTGAGCACAGAGCTCTGCAGCTGTGTTTTCCTTATTGGATCAAGTATGGCTTTCTGCTGGTGGTGAGGATGGGAACAGGGCCGGCTAAGTGCAGATAAAAATAGCTGTGTGCCCTTAAGCCTGCAGCAAAACAGTGGTCTCTTCTGCTTGATGCTGAAAGATTCTGATGCATGCTTTCTAACAGGCTCCACTTTAATTACCCATGCAGACTACACAGGAAAACAATTTGCCTCAGTCAGTGCTGCTTATTTAGCTTGATCATGATCACACCTGTTATGCTGTTGTGTTTTTCCCTGCTATGGTTCCTTGCACAACAATTAATCATCCTTTGGTGGTGTTCTTGTTTGTGTAGAAGACTCCCTCTTGCGTCAGGATGACATTTGGATGCTGGATGGCGACGACCCTCAGGAGCCTCTTTCCCGCGTTCCACGCCCTGATCACCTCGACTTCCTACGCATCACACCGCCTGAAGATGACATCCTGGGGGACACACCCTACTGTCCCAAGCTGGAGTGCACGGTGAGGGCCCTATATTAGCACAAACAATAACAGATCAATTCGAGCTGTAATGTGTATTTTCAAACTCGACTCAGTGTACCATGGAACTTTTTTTTCGTATTTCTTTCTCTCGTGGGACTCATAGCGATTTCTCTCCACTCGGGCATTTAACCACCTGATCATACATTCTTAGGAATGGATTAACCGGTCACGGATTTTAATCTGTAGACTGGGGTCTTAAGCCAAAATGTAGTGAGATCACTCCACTCAAACCTCTTTTAACCAGAGCAACGACAGGAAAATCTTTCCTTCTCTTGTGGCATTTTCAGAACATTTTACAGCCTTATTTTTGAAAGGTTTAGGCTATTAGGAGTACTTAGTGTGATTTCTCTTTTGTTATTGAGCAGAAGTTGCAACACAGGATATGCTGCTTACCACGGAGCATGTGATGTAATCCTGCTGTACAGTAGCCTGCAGCAAACAATGTGTCCAGACGTTTGTTGGCTGTAATTATGCTAATATAGGGTACCAATTGAGAGCTACCAAACTGCAATTCTAAGTAATGTGATCGAATGATGCAAAACGATTTCCATTGTAAGTCTTTCCCGATTCCATCATGTTGTCTGGCTAAGACATTCATTCCTGTGGCAGATGAGGCAGATTACCTGGGTGTGGTGTTAGGCGGGGAGTGTAAGAACGCAAGCCACGCATTGTTTTCAAAAGACTAAGTTGCTGCCCTGGCTGTGGGAATAATGAGGTATCATACCAGTACAAAGGCCCTGCTGTACAGGAATAGACACTCTGTATTGTATTGGAAGTTATAAACATACACGTACTTCAGAGTTCTTTGTCACTGGAATCCATTTTTGTGTCGTTAGAAAGACACACTCCTCTGGTGCACATTATTTCTTCTCAGTGTATTGTACACACACAGGGAGGGTTGTGGCAATGACACAATCCAATTATGTGGGTTGACTTAATAGTTTTTTAGACATGTAGTGTCAGGATGATCTGCGACTTGTATATGAATATGTTTACTTCATTCCTGAGCATATGTACGTTAGATATGTGTTCGCAGTTTCTTCAATCAGTGGTGCCTCTTTCTAGTACGGGGGGGGATTTAATGTGTGTGTGTATGAAATATCACTGCTCTTGCATAACTTAATTCCTCGGCCACAGAATTCCCCTCCTTTTTAATTGCAGCTTTGTTCAGATTGGGGGGGATTAAACACCAATCCCAAGCAAATGCAATTAATCGTTATTTTTTTTCACTTCTTCTTTATTGCTAAGACATTTCCAATGTTCAATTATTACGGTGACGAATAATTACTCAATCACCCAGGATAGATTTCAGCATTCAAGCAGTTCTTTTGCTTGGTTTATTAAAAAAATAAAAAAAACAAGTGATTTCCATTTGTCTTCTTAAAGCATCATGTAGCATCATAGATAGCTAATTATTGTTAGATATTGATCCTTTGTCAGGGGAGTTGGTAATATTTGAAAATGTTTAACTTTATGCCATTCATAAAACCAGTTTTCAAAATATTTGAAACCAGCCTTTAGAAATGTGCCCTGCTCGGGCAGTCTGAAGGAATGCATTCACAGAGGGTGACCTTTGGTTTCTAAGGGCATTCTGTTTTCCTAACCACTTTCATGACAATGGACTGTACTTATATAGCGATAACAATATTATTTTAAAAGGTGTATATAAGGTTAGAGTAAGTTAAGCAATAACATTCCCAAGTTGTTTCATTCAGCCATTTGTATTTTCTTAAGATGTTAGCCTTTCTCACACAGATTCCTTGTTAGCTTGTAAGCTATAGCAACGGTGAGCTTGCAAACTTTAAAACGTTTTTTTATGTAGCATACAGTGTTGTAAAAACTAAATTCCCAGTTTGAAGCAAAACTGACATTGTTTAGTGTATAGATACTCAAGGTAAGTGACGCAACATGTCATTTTCTTCCTATCTGTCCTGTATGTGTGTTTGAGAGCTGCTAATCACACACATTTCCTTCATAGCATATTAGCTAGAGTAGGCTATGGCCAGGCTGACTAATCACCACGTCCTAAGCCTCATATTGCAGTAGCTCGCCGCTTAATGGTGCAATTCAGGGCTAATGGACCTCAGAAGCTCTCTACCTGACCACAGACCAGCTCCCCCTCTGTGTTTACTCTGTTACCTCGGCAGCCATTTTACGGAAGTGAGCAGAGGTAATTAGACACCTGTGGTGCAGGCTCTGCAGGTCTCCTCCCAAGGAGGGAGGAACCTGAAGGGAGGCGTCCCCAGACTGGGTAGACCAGTGAGACACATTTTTTTCACAACCTGAGAAGCTTTTTTTCTAGCACACAGGCTTTCCTGTAAACTGAGAGTACAGGACAGAGACAAACTAAAGGCACAGTTCAGCCATAGACTTCAGACTGAGACTGTTTACCGGCGCATAGAGAAAGATCATCTACAACTTTATGGATACTACTGCTCAACTTGTCGGAGCAGTCGGGAATGCTTGTGTGAAAGGCAGGTGAACTCTGCTCTCCCAGGGAGATTACAGCAGGACTTCCAGCCACGGAACAGCTTGAATTCACTTGCAGCGTCATGGGAGTCTTGCTCGCACAGAGGAGCCGGCACTGTACTACTCATAACATAGTAGTAGCAGACTTTATGTTATGATAGTATACTTTGTAGAACTGGTTTGCAATTCAATAAACGGGAATACAGGATAGTGTTGTTACACTTGGCGCGCTCCTGGAGAAGGTAAGAGGAGCTGGGGAGACTTGTCCGCACAAAGGCCTTTTGTCCCCAGCCAGCAGCAGTGGTGGACTAGCAGCAGCTTGGATATCTGGATACGGGGACATCTTCATTGGAAACCTTTTGCCAGAGTTGCCACCTGTTTGGGTTTGCCTCTCTTTCCTCTCAGTTTGTCTGACACTTTGAGCAAAAATGGAAAATGCAAGTAATAAGTCAGATGGAGCGGGGCAGCAGAGCGCCGGTTTGCTCATGAATGTGTTCAGCAGTTTCTTTGGCCAAGAAAGACCTGCTTCGGAGTCGCCCGTGCTGACATCTTTCAAGGAGCTGTCAGATGAGAATAACCCTCTTCCTGAAGGCGGTCAAACTACTTGCAGTAAGAACAAGCTCCAAGAGAGAGAAGATATGCATCAAGATAATGTGACGGCTTCCTCTGGTACAGGGCAGAGAGCTGAGTCATTGGAAAACTGCAAGGAGTCTGGCGACAAAGTTAAAACAGCATCAGTGGCTTCGGTTGACCTCGATCTGGTCCAGGTCACTATGGTGGAAACATATAGTGACAATGAGGAAAATGAGGATGAGGAGGCAGCCTGCAGTAGTAAATCGGAGAAGCCTGCCATGACGAAGGAGTCTACCCCACCTGAGGAGGATAATAACAAAGTGGAGCATAATGATGAGCTAAGCGATCCCGCTGAGGCCGAGTACCAAATGCCTGTGTTTAGAACACACGGATTAAGGGGAAAATCCCGCATAGAAGCTATGCTTTTTCCAGACAGGTACCCCAGCGGAAAGGACTCTGGGACAGTTACTGTTTCAAAACAGAAAGAAGGCTCTATGAGTCCCAAAGAGAGCAGAACCACAGTGTCTTCGGACGTAGAAAAATCAGATGCTGGAGATAAAAGTAGAGACGGCGTGGGTGCAGAAGAGGATAAAGAGTTTGTCGGCGTAGATTGTTCTCTTCCTGTTCCTGCCATCATCGCCGGAAGCCCAGTTTTGCAGGCACCAGGTGATGCTGCTGCCACAGCCTCTCCTTTAAAAGAGGACTCTATTTCACAGGAGGAGAAGACCGGTGACAAAATGGCTAAGGCTGAGGAGGAGACTAAGAAAGAACCTCACTCAAGCAAGGTGTCTCTCTCGGTTTCCTCGATCCCTAAGGCATCAGAAGTCTTAGTTCAATCCTCCTCCAGTTTAAAGGAGCAGTCAGAATCTGTTGGTGAAAAAACAAAAAAACGTTCCTTGTCATCCACACCTGAAAAGTCCACAGTTGTCATCCAGCCAAGGGCCAGTCCTGCCTCACAGCGCACAACTGCTCCAAAAAGCCCAGTAACAAAAAAAACACCACCTCCAGCTTCATCTAACCCATCCTCCTCCCCATCGAGGGGCACAGCACTGTCTTCGCCCCCTTCCTTCCAGATGCCGGCTCTCTTCAGTGGGCTGCGGGTGCTGAAGAAAGGAGCGGTGGGGGAGGACAGGGAGTCGGTGTCAGAGATCAAGCAGAGCGAGAAGGATGCTGACCTGGCCCTGCTCAGCCTGAAGAAGACGGTAAACAAAGCCAAGCTGTTCCCCGAGCAGAAGACCCCCTCTCCAGCCAGAAAACATGCAGAGCCTAAACCAGTTTTGGACACGAAAAGTACTGTGATGGGACAGCTCAGCCACCTGCTCAACAGAGACAGCCGCGAAGAGACCAAAAAGCCAGATGTGCAGCAGGATGCTAATCCAGAACGCGGCAGAAAGGAGTCTGAGAATGGGGAAGAGGTTGTGGAGGAGACGGTTTTAATCCCAGAAACACCCACCTCTACACCAGAGAAAAAGAAAACCTCAGACCTGGCCTACGAAACCTTTAGGAACATCTTCGGCCCCAAAGGTGTCAAAAAGGACAAAGTTGACGACGTCGATCTGGATGCAGTGAGAAAGAAAATCAAGAATGACAAAGAGAATCTGAGGTCTATTTTTGAGAGAGCATCCAAATCCCCTGGCAAGGAACTCAGCATTCCCACAGAGGCTATTGTATGAAACACAATATTTTTCATCTTTCTTGGAGTTTCTACAAAGATGGGGGAAACTGATAAATTGGTGCTTTGTCATTGCATTGCCAGTGTCAACGCTGACTTTTTTGCATGTTTTTTTTCTTCCCCACAGACGGAGGTCACGTCCCCTACAGACAGCGAGGACCGAACACCAGGGCGTCTACAGAATGTGTGGCCCCCACCCAAAACTAAAGAGGAGGAAGAGAAGGTGGGCCTCAAATACACCGAGGCAGGTAAGAACTGCAACCGTCTTTACATCTAAAAACCCGGACAATGATAGAAAATCTCACCGCTCAAGTATTTTTAAATGACAAACATTTAATCAGATCATTATGAGCACTGAAAGAAAAGTAGAGCCACCACTATCACACCTTTGAGCACTCATACTTTGAGATAAGTCATGCAGTGCTGGCTAAGTATCATGAGCAAGGTGTAATACATCCTTTAAATCCATTTAAGAACACATTGAGGCTGCGTCTGCTCCTTAATGCTGCTGTTTGTGTGGTTTATGTTTCCACAGGGGGGGGGTGTGTGTGTGTGTGTGTGTGTGTGTGTGTGTGTGTGTGTGTGTGTGTGTGTGTGTGTGTGTGTGTGTGTGTGTTATAATTCAGTTTACTCTGGGCAGCACGCCATGTTTTGTACTTTAAAGGTGTTATGTCACACAGACGGGATAAAAACACACACTCCTGTGGATGGGCTGATTAAATTACAAAGGAAAACGCTTTTCTTTCATGTTCAGAGTAGAGTGAAATTGTGTTGTCTGAAAGCGTACAGCGCGTTGAATCGGCAGTGAAGCAGCTGTTGGGTGGCCTGTGTGGTGCTGCTTCATCTCTGAGAATAGATTAGGACTAGTGAGTGTGGATTATTCTGGTGATTGGTGCTCCAGGATCAGGCTTTCCTCTTGTATAAGAGAATAATGTGAGAAACCTCTGAGGCAGAGCAAAAGTCCACACTGTGATCCATATACTGTAGATAAACCAAAACCTGCGCTCATTCATATCATATGCATTTCTTTCAAACACAAGTACTGCTTAAATGGCGTAAATAATTGACTTTCAGGTGGAACTACAGTAGTTTTAATAGAGTTTTAAAACCAGCCTGATTTATAATCATTGACTCGGATCAATCATTAATGCAACAAAATGTAACTCGTTACAGCAAATAGCTCAATGCTAATTCATGCTAAAAAGTCCCAAACAGGATCATCTTCCTCAATTGTATAAAGGAATAAAGACTCACAAATGTAAATAAATGGCCCTTAACTCAACAGTCTAGTCCTTAAATGCAATTTATTTAAAAATGTAAAACGTCCTCATGAAGAAAAGACACAGTGGTGATAGGACAAGTTGTTATAACTAACTTTTCAGGACCAGTGTTCCTAAACTCAAAATAGTTTCCTTTTTTCTTCCTTTTATTTACTGACTTAGTTGTTCTCTATGGTTGTCAAATACTGCTGTTCCATAATGGACTGGAGATGAATCATGTAGTGCGTGATCTTTCCACTTTTGTGCCGTCATCTTATTAGAAGCAACAGCTCTGTATTTTTTATGTGACCTTACAAAATGTTTTGTTTGAGCTTTAATTTGGGCCAGCAGTATAATTTAAAACAGGTTGGTTGAGTTGATGTCTCTTTTTATAGGTAAAGAATGTTCCACCCTTCTGTAGTATCTTAACACTAACATCAGAACATCTTGTTAGCATGTCTTTGTCAGATTAGTTTGATGATGATTTAACATACCAACTGTGTAGCCACTAGCTCAAGATAACACAACTCTAACCCAATTATCTCAACCTATTGGTAAATGAATAAAAACACAGACAATGAGCCGGGATGACGCTCCAGTCTACTGTATATGTTATAAATCTAAACGCCCAGCTGAGTCATGTCATTAAACATGTGTCTTTGGTCTGCTTCCTCTCAGAGCACCAGGCTGCCCTCTTGCAGCTGAAGAGAGAGTGCAAGGACGATCTGGAGAGGATGCATGTAAGTTATCATACAACATGAGCAGAAATGACAACACACTGACTGAAAACACATTACACTCCGGAGAAAATTAGACGATGCATTTCTGTGTGAGCAGACTAGTTCACTAGAACATTTAAGGGAATACTTTTGAAAAATAATAAACAAAAATAAACGTACTCTTAGGACAGGGGAAATAAAGTACAGCATTATATTTGTGACAATAATCTATGCACAGTATAGGTGGGACAATAACGGCACATTTAAAATAATAAACCACTAATTATGTTGGAATATGTAGTCTGATATAGCAGTAGACTCTCCTGAACACAAGATGGCAGTACGTGAGCATGAAATGATCCCGTGCAGCAGGACCAGTGCAACACTACTGCTGAATATTCAATACCAGCAGTAGAAGCTTTAAGATGCCACAGGTCCTGAAGTTGCCCAGTATTGTGTATAATATTTGAATAACCTGTCTGTCCAGTTTTAGTTAATTCATTATTTAATGTTTTTATGTTTAAAAGATGTGTACAGCATATTACCCGGGGAAACAGTTTACATAGGTAAAAAAACAAAAAACTTAAATCAGATTTTAAATGACTGTTCAGTGTATTTTGTAGTGTTACTTCCTAATATATGGAATTAAGTTGCACGCTTACAGTAATTATAGGAGACCCAGAATGGATAATATGTATGATACAGAATAAAACAAATTACAGGTTGAGATTACATTTTTTAGCTTAGATGGTTGCAATTTTAAATGTTGATCTATTTGTAACTTTAAGCCTTTTTTAAATTCTGTGGTTAACTTGGCATTTATGTATTTTTATATTCTTCTTTTCTAGTCTTTTTTTAACATGTAGGAGACTCTTTAGTGTTGAACTCCAAATTGTAAAAACTAGATTGACGTAAAAATATGCATATTTAAAAAATAAATTAAGACTAGAGTATGAGCATTTAGTGAATGAACATTTAAAACATAAAATGCCTAATGTCTTTATGTCTTGAGTTCTAACAAAGAGTAAAATGGAAGTAAACATTTTAAGTGACATCAAATATAAAAATGAAGGCTCTTAAAACAATAACAAGAGACTAGAATTTCATATTTTAGGTAACGTATAATAATATAACTTCTAAATGTCTTCCAATAGAGTTATGTGATGGAGATCCCTTTTGACTCCATTATGATGGCTCATTCCAAATCCAATTAGGATGTGTCTGTTTCATTCATCAAAAGCAGGGATAGGGAACAGTGCTTCATAGATGTTCTTCTTTCATCTGTCAAATTAAAAGTCAATCTTATTGTGTACACTTGGAAAAATAGGAGAGCATAGTTGTGGCCATATTACATATGTTTCTACCACTGATAAATTGCTTTATGGACTGTTTTTCTTGACAAGTCTGACCTTAGAATTAATCTGTTTTAAAGCCTTTAATTTAACGTCAACCTTTTTAAACAACTTATGCTGACACTGAGGCACATGTACCGCAGACAGCCCACAAGATTTATGTGTCAAATTTAATATTTTTCCTTGGTGCGACAGTTTTCTCATTATTTAAAATGTCGGATAGAAACCGAAGCAGATTTTTTACTTTAAGAGTCAAATACTAGTCTCCTTGGGAGTTGAAAACTAGAAATATTTGTATTTTTCAACTTCAAGAACCACAGTCATGTAAAACACTTTGGTGAATAATTAAACACTTTAACCCAAATTCAAGCAAGGAAATGTGTTGCTAGTTTCTTTTTTCTTTTTTTTATGTGATGAAAAGTAATAGAAGTTTCTGTTTTTGTTTTGTCTCTGTCACTCCACTCTTGTTCCTTACAGTCCGACTTTGAGCTCAAAATGTTCCAACTGCGAGGAGAGCACGCTGTCTCCATGTCACAGCTGGAACTAGAGATCTCTAAGATGCAGAGAGACCGGGGGTACAGTGCAGGTTATTTGAGGGGGGAGGTCCGGGACGCTGCAACGTCCACCACAGATGACCTGATATCCAAGACCTACCGCACCGTCAGCATCCAGACGGACAGGGAGAGCTTCATCAGGAGCCCCGAGGGGGAGGGGGGCGTTCAGAGCCCCAACCAGAATGTGCCAAAGAAACTCAACCTTGACTCCATGGGTCTGAATCAAAAACCTGGAGCACATCCACCCCCGCCCCCGCCACCTCCTCCCCCTCTCCCACCAGGCCTCTCAGGACCACCACCCCTCCTCCTCCTCCTCCCCCTTTACCAGGCACCACTGGGGCACCGCCACCACCCCCTCCACCACCTCCGCTCCCTGGAGG